GAGGGGAAGAGAGGGGACAGAGACAGACTGTGAAGAAAGTCCCATTGACCCTGAAGCTTGCCATTTTGCCTAGATTGGCTAGCTGATAAAGATCAAGGATCCAGTAAGCTCCTCTTTCCAAGACTACAGTTATCTGGAATGCACTGCTTTTACATGGGAGCTGGAGATTTGAACTCAGGTTCTTATGCTTACACAGCAAGTGCTTTTGCCCACGGTATCTCCCCCAGTACACATTTACTTCCCATTTTAATCTGAATCTGATTTAGGAGGCCCTCCATGTTAAATTTCAGTTAGGACTATGAGTAGGAAGTATTTGAAGGGTAGTTTTAGTGTGGAACTAGGTGGACTTCATCTAAGGCAAAAGGCAGCACTGGAGAACTGCATTGTTCTTCCTATGGAGAAGTGAACAAATGCCTGTTTGTTCCAGATACAACAAAGACAGACCAGAGGAAAGATTCCATCCAAATCCAGCCTGGGGAACCAGTGGGTTTGTTAGGCTCACTTACTGGAGTGTGGATTATACAAAACCATGTGCATCATACAAAGGCCCATCCCAGCATATGTGAGACCAGTTTCACTGAGCTGCCTCACAAAGTCCTGCATTGGATTAATCTCTAATATACTTTAGCACTTCTGAAGGCCACAGCAGTGAGGGAGTACTGATTATATTCTCTGTTGAGAGCTCTATACCCTTCCATCTGTCCTACCAAAGAGTATTGACAGTTCCACTACCATTAGCAGAAGCAGGACTATTAGTATAGTGTTTTACTCTGATTTGTGTTGGTAATAAGAAAGTCATGTTATGATCAGATGAAATAACTATACTACAGCAACCTAGTAACCCAACCATCATGATTTACAACAATTTCTAAATCACTAATAATATCTGTCTATCTATCTATCTATCTATCTATCTATCTATCTATCTATCTATCTATCCATCCATCCATCCATCCATCCATCCATCCATCTATCTATCTATCTATCTATCTATCTATCTATCTTTGCCTTCCTCCATACCTCCCTCTCTTTTTCTATCCTCTTGTCACTCTTCCCAACTCATGGTTTCTTCTCTCCACTGTACCCACCTTTTCTCTCCCTATCCTCTACCTCTCACTTCCTCTTTCTTTCTTATTTGGCTCATGACATGAACACACAGAAATTTTCAGGATATATATATATATATATATATATATATATATATATATATAT